AATAGGGAAGTGTTGGGGATGGGGAGAGCAGCTGTAAGTGCTACAAGCAGAGATCTCAATTGTGTTGGGCCCTATGCCTTCTTGCAAATGTAAAGCTCAACTGGGTATTTTTCCCTCACCCTCTCTCGACTCCTACTGAGGTTTTCTTCATCACTCCCCTTAAGTGGAGTCAAGTCAATTTAAATATATTGATCTTCTCAGCACCGGGGATATGAATGAGACTCAAGCCCTGCCTCTAAGAAGTGGGGACCAGGTGTAGACATAGCAAAAAGAAGGTGTGAGTAAAAAGGAGAGGTGGGGATGGACAAGAATGACCGCACAGGAAGGGGCAGTTGAGCGGCTTTTGAAGGGTGAGCTACAGTTCCCTGGGGAAAGGGGTGTGGACAGGTAGGGCCAGGACTTTTGGGCAGAGAAAACATGAATGCAAAGACACACTCACATGAAATCACACAGTATTTTCAGCGAGCCGTAAACAGACACTATGTGTGCACAGTCATTGTATTTTTCCTTAACCACGTTCTTAGTGCCCCTGCTGTAAGTGCTTTTTCATTGTGGGTCTCAGGGATTTAACCAAAAAGCTTTGTGGTAAACTCCTTTCCACAACAAGCTTCTATAACATAATATTTCAAGATTGCTGCCATTCTGTGTGACCATTTGTGCTAAAACATCATTTAAAAAAATGTATATATGTTTAGCAAACAAATGATCTTGAGTTCATGGGGAAAAGAGACCTGGTATCTAGTTTGAGGGTCAAGATATGCTTCCTTGAGGAAGAGGCATTTGTGCTGAGCTTGGCAAGGTGAATGGGAATTATCCGGGGGAAGAGTTCATCAGGAAGTAAGAACGGCAGGCATATGGGAATACCCAGAGGTAAGCCAGAGCCTGACCTGTTGCAGGTCGCAGAGAGGCCCAGAACACAAAGCCACAGGGAGAGGTGAGGGGCGTGTGCTGGTGGGGGAGGCAGGTGGGCTCGTGCAGGGCCTTGGAGGCCATATGGTAAATTTAGGGCTTCACCCTGAGCGATGGGAAACCAGAAACATTTTAAGGAGGGGAGAAATCTGATGATGTGTATGATGTATATAATTATAATAATCTGATTATTATTTTAAAAGATCACATTAGCTAAAAGTTGGAGAAAGAATCGGTGTGGGGGGAGGAGAGACCTGTTAGAAGAGTACATCAATTCACAAGGGATTAATGAACTGGATTAGATCGGAGAGATGGAGCTGGAGACGAGAGAGATTGGAGAAATAGGGAAGCGGAAAAGAGTTAGGACTTGGTAATAAATTGGATACACATGACGTGCCGAACTTCACTTCTGTTTACATATATCAAATGATATAAACAGATGTTTTTATACTTTACCATATTTGGGTTTTAGTTAGTTTTTTGAACTCTTACTTGATTAAACTCCAACTGATGGAGGTTCACGATAGTAAGAATCAAAATATTTTCAGATTATCATGATGACATATGGCCCTATAATTCTGGATTTTGTAACAAAGCAGTTTGACTTCTGTCCCGTTCATTTGGATAATGCCATACTATCTAGGAAACGGAAATGTGTTTTTAAAATATGACAGGCTCCAGCCTGTGTACATATCAGATACAGGGAAAAATAAAACAGAATGTCTTGGGTTTGAAACACAAAATTAATGCAGTTCTTTTTTTAAAAAAAAATGTAAATTCTGTGCTCTATTTCTAGAATGAAATTAGATTTTCTTAGGTAAGAATAATAGCTTGATTTTTTTTCCACCATAATAACTTAATCTTGGTTATGCTTTTCACACCTAACTAGACTGCACACAGCACATTATGGGCAGGTATGTACACACAGTGCAAATCGTTCTCCCAGCTGCACACGTACGATTTGTCTTTTGGTGCTGGCGGTTATGTTCAATTTAGTAAAAGCTATATTCCACTGTGTACTAGCATCTTCGGTTCCTTAACCAGCTAGGATTTTATGTACTTCTCTTTACTGGTTCATAAAAAGCACAGAAAAGAGCAGAAGGCTGAGATAGAAATGAATCAGAGCAAAATATGCCTTTGTCCAGGAGAGAGGAGGACGCAAACCCAAGCACCAAAGCTGTGAGCAGAGGCGCATCTGATGAAAATTTGGTATCTCGCAGCCCCCCCCTTTTTTTTTAATAAATAAGATAAACTGAAATGACAAAGTGGGATCCTATGTATTCACTTAAATTTTCCAGAAAACCCCTGAAACATACAAAAGACACAGACCTGGAGAATGTACTAGTATGCACTTACCTATAATACTTGTAGTTTCTGTCACGGTTACAATGAAACACCTCCACTGTGTTCTCCTCCCTGATTCTCCAGGATGTTTTGAAAGGTGAACCTTGTCAAAGGAAAAATCACTAAGTGACAAAAGGCATCGTGCCTTCTAACTGAGGAATGTTTGCAATGATTACAAACTACAGAGTATTTTGGTTGAAGGGACCAACAATTGCGTTCAGTGCCTGAAAAATAAGTCAAAGAAATAAAATTATTTTTGAGCAGGTTTACGTCTCATATTAATCAGAAAATATGCATAATTTAAAATTCTTGCTGGCAGTTTTAAAAAATTCAATATTTCCACTCTAAGTAAAAATATGAGAAGTTTCTGAGAAACTAATATACTAGAGCCTCCAAATTTTTCCTTATTCATACGATCAAATGACCACCGTTTGATTAATGGTAGGAGAGAATTAAAAGTAAAAGTAAAATTATCTTAAGAGTGTTTATTTTGTCCTCTAGGAAAGGAGAGCAAGTTCTGGCCCTCCAGCTATCATAGTGAGATGCAGGCCCTTCTTACCAGTATTTTTATAGAAACAAATTTTGCTTATGTGTCATCTAATTTTAAAGGGATGCCTTCCTAGGAAAGGAATGGAAGACACCACAAGAAGGATTAAATATATACCAAGGGCTAGGGTATGGGAAGATATGGAACCAAAGTCTGATTTTGCCTTCATATCAATACAGTGTGTTTTCTGGGCGGATTTATTCAAAACAGGGTGGGAGGTGCCTTCAGGGTTAACACCAACGGAGCCCAGCGTTCCCCAGAGCGGCCGCCTTCATCATTTCATTCCTTCCCAGCTGCTGTTGTTCAGTCCACTTCAGAGCTACTCTGAGTGACAATCACAGCTTCCTTTCTCCTCCGGGATGCTTCATTTACATTGTGCCCTCTCTCGGACAGTTGTGATAACCTCTGTTTTTGAGATTGTCACTTCTCCTTCACAATCAGCAAATTTAAGTGACTATCAAATTAAATTTAATTATCAGAATATTCATCAGAATACAAGGTGATGGGCTGAATCATATAGTCTCACTTGTTGTTTTCAGTTTTGGTTCTTAATATGATCTTAAGTGGAAAAAAATGTGTCAGATATAAACCTTAAAGGGATGTTCATATTATTGGAGTCTAAGGTATGTTTTTTTATTGTCTTGATTACCTCTATTCCCATGATGATATAAATGGGTTTTTAACACAGAGTTTGGGGTCTTCCTTTGAAACTAAGATGCTCTGTATAATCTTATGGCTTGGAACATCTCTTATTTGAAAGAATTCCAAATATTAAAGAACATAATTAAATCATCTTCCTCTTGTTAAAATGATACCCTTTTTTATTTTCACTACCTTATGGCTTTTTAAGTGATTAGAAAGCAAGGACTATAGAAAGTATGGCATTCTTTTTTTTTTTAAGATTTTATTTATTTATTTGACAGAGACAGATACAGCGAGAGAGGGAACACAAGTGGGGGAGGGAGGTGGGAGAGGGAGAAGCAGGCCTCCCGCAGAGCAGGGAGCCCGATGCGGGGCTCGATCCCCCAGGACCCTGGGATCATGACCTGAGCCGAAGGCAGACGCTGAACGACTGAGCCACCCAGGCGCCCCAGTATGGCGTTCTTAAAAAGAGGTGTAGGCTTATTACTTGTGAGACTATTAATATATTTTATGGATAATCGTGGTCTTTTTATAGCAGAAATAGGAAATTTAACAACTGAATATGCCTACATTACTAAAACTAGTTATTATGTCAATATTAGGACTTTGATCTTTGATGTTTAATTTGTAAAAGCAGCATTTATCTCCAAAATGTTTTGCTGGCTTCAAATGTGTTAACCTCTGCCTACAATTAACAACCTCCTTTAAAGATGGGGAGGATGAGCTAAAGAGTTTTAACTTAAACCAGGAGCATCTCCCACTCACTCATTTCCCCTATTTAAAGTCTTGTTTTCCTGAGCCACTTGGGTGGCTCAGTTGGGTTAAACATCTGACTTTTGATTTTGGCTCAGGGCCTGAGCTCAGGGTTGTGAGATCGAGCCCCAGGTCAGGCTCCATGCCCAGATTAAGATTAAGGTTCTCTCTCTCTCCCTCTCTTAAAAAATAAATAAATAAGCTAAAATAAAATAAAAATAAAGCTTTGTTTTCCTACTGGTTGAGAATATCTTAATCCGCTTTCTTTGAATAGAATTCCTGTCTTGTAAGTACCACTGAGTTAAAAAAAAAAAATGAGCAGCTGTAGGAGAGTTTCTAAGAAGAAGTCATGCATTTTTCTATAACTACAAGCTGTAGCAGTAAGAAAAGGGTTATTTAAATTCATTCCTTTTTTTTAAAAGATTATTTATTTATTTATTTGAGAGAGAGAGAATGAGAGACAGAGAGCACGAGAGGGAAGAGGGCAGAGGGAGAAGCAGACCCCCCGCTGAGCAGGGAGCCTGATGCGGGACTCGATCCCGGGACTCCAGGATCATGACCTGAGCCGAAGGCAGTCGCTTAACCAACTGAGCCACCCAGGCGCCCTAAATTCATTCTTAACTGACATTTTCCCAGACTCCACTTAAATCACTAGCACATCAAGTCTGGGTTCATTGCATTGTAAATTAATTTCTTTCTAAAACCGTATTTATGTACTCATTTGTTTAATAAGCTCCATTGTATACTCCAAAGACAATTTCTTGAACTCGGATGAATGACATTCATTTCTCCTCCATTTACCCAGTGCTGCTGCTGAAGCTGATGGTATTGATCCATTAATAAACATGCTGTCCAGTAAACGAGATGGAGCCATTTCCAACGCTGCTACAGTATTAGCGAACATGGCAATGCAGGAGCCCCTGCGTGTGAGCATACAGAACCACGATGTCATGCACGCCCTCATCAGCCCACTCCGTTCTGCAAACACGATCGTGCAGAGCAAAGCGGCTCTCGTGGTGGCTGCAACCGCATGCGATGTTGAGGCCCGGACAGAGGTGAGAGCTTTAATAACGTCTGTTCTCTCATTTTTCTGGTCCCTACCTCTGGGTGGATTAATTTGAAACATTTTCAAGTGTTTGAACCTACCCATCATTTAGAGCCTTCGAATTCGGTGCAACACTTCAGCCATGGACTCTGGGTGATAATAATGTGTCAGTGTATGTTCATCAGTTGTAACAAATGTACCAATCCAGCAACGGATGTTGATAATGGGAAAGCTGCTCGTGTGTGGGGGCAGGGAGTAGGGGAAATCTCTGTACCTGCTGCTCAGTTTTGCTGTGAACCTAAAACTACTCTAAAAAATTGGTGCAACATTTGGAAAAGAAATTGGCATTACCTAGCAAAGAAGAGCATGTCCTATAATCCGGTATAATCCAGCAGTCATGTTTCTAAGTTATACAGCTAAAACGGTCTCTTGCCTCTGTGCACCAGATGCATTGTTTATAATATCTAAACAACTGGAAACACACCAATTGCCTAGTTTTTTAAGAGAGTGGGTAAATAAATTTGTGGTATATTCATAAAATGGAGTTTCACATCCGTGAAAATGAATGAACTATAGCTACAGACATCAATAGAGATGAATCTCAAGCCATGCTGAGCAAAATCAAATTGCAGAAGAATACAACTTCTGATTCTGTTTATGTAGCACTCGAAAGTATACAAATCTAAGCAATATATTGTTTAGATAAACATACATGTACGTTGCAACTATAAAGGCAAAGGTAGAGAATGATTAACCGCAAATTCAAGAAATCCTCTTGAGGGATCAAGGGAGTGGATGTAACTGAGAGGAAAAAACAGGGGTTCAAGGTCATTTAAATTTGTCATTTCTTAAGCTGAGCGGTAGACAAACAGGCGTGCCTTTACTACAGTGCGTTACATTATACACATGGGTTCCACATACTCCTGTGTTCCTTGTATATTTCAAAGTTTTAAAACATAGAATTGCATTTTTTTTACAAGTGTATCATATAAAAGTGTCTTTGGTTCTATTCAAAAAGGTAATGTAAACCTACAAACATCCTTTTTTCTCTTGCTTTTGTCATATTTACTTGTCACACAGCACTCTCCAAACAGCCTAGGGCTTTGTTCCTCTCCCTCCAATATAAATAACAATAGCTAACACTTACTGAGCACTTACTAGGCAGTGAGCACTGTGCTAAGCACTCGACAAGCTTTTAAGCGTCACTCCCTGCTGAGTGAGGAGCCCAACAGGGGGCTCGATCCCACCACCCAAGACATCACGACCTGAGCTGAAACCAAGAGCTGGACGCCCAAGTGGCTGAGCCGCCCAGGCGCCCCAAGACTACTAGATGTTTATTTACCATCTACTCTGTGTCAGGGACTATGCTAGGCTTCGGCAACACAGCGATCAAAGCGTTTTGGTCCTACCTCAATGCAGTCTGCAGAATAGTCCGTCTCTTTCCAGGAATATTGCAGCTGAGTCTCCTGCTCTCCCTACGCCTGCCACCCCTGCTTCCCACACTGCCTCCAGACTGATCTTTCAAATATATGACCCTCATCATGTCACTGCAAGTCCCCAGTGGCGTGCCATTGCCCCAGAGGAAAAGTTGAGCAGCTTAGCGTGATGCGCATGGGCTCCCAATGACCCACACCTACCCACCTGTGCCTGAAGCCTCTTCCCAGGCCTAACTCCATTCTCCAGAAATACGATACCATTTGTAATTCTGTCCATACGCTCTGTTCTCTTATTTATATGTCTTTGATTTCTCCGCTTGGAAAACTATTCTCACTTTTGTCCACCTGATAAAATCACACTTCTCCTTCAAAACCCATGTCAGCCATTCTGTCTTCCATGAGGCCTTTCTTCAGCCCTCAAGCTAGGGAGCATCCTCCTCTATGCTTCCCTTACACCCTATGCATGCTTCCCTTGTCTTCTGCTTTGCATATATGGTTCTTGTATGAAAGACTATAAGCCCCTTGAAGCTTTAGGGAAAGGACCTGAGAGTTTTTCTTCCCTGTGTCCATGCCATTAATAGATACCTGGCACAGAGTGCATACTTAATAAACAGTCATTAAATGAATAGGTAAATGAGTGAGGGAATTAATAAATGAATTAGATCTTTTCCAAAAGAACACATGGAGTTAGACTACCTTGTATTATACTCAGAAATAAAGATGTTCAGAAATTTGACTTGCTAAAGCCTAAGATGCTTCAAGTAAACTTTCTAAAGCTGTAATGTTACAAGTACTAAAGTGTGATCCCTGAGAAGAAAATGTCACTGGACATTGATGGAAAACCACTGAATCTGAATCAAGTGGATCATACCCCATAAGGGCTCTTGTCTTCAGATACTACACATAGAAACTGGTAAAATATTCTTTTTTTGTCCTCTAGGTTCAGATGATAGAATATTGCATTTCAGGCAGTATGACAAGGGCTCTATCAAATCTTTTTTTTTTTTTTCCGGATTGGAATAATTTTATCCATGAATAATTACCTTTATTACTTGAATTTCCTTTAACAATGTAATTAATGTAGTTCTGTCCAATTCTCTTCTTATTCTTTTTTATCTCTTCCTCACTCCTTGGAGAATTGAAGAGAAGACGCTGTGCAGCGTTAACAAAAACTGGTCTTCTTCTAGGGCATTGCTATGGTACTGCTTTGGCCACACTGATGATTTGGTGGCGGTGACATGGGTAGCATGTCACTGTATCAATTCCTCCTGCCCAGCCTTGGGGACCGGATTCATTCCCTATTACTGCTGTAACAAATGACCACAACACTGTGGCTTAAAGTAATAGAAATCTGTTATTGTATAGTATAGGAGGTCAGAAGTCTGAAAACAGGTCTTATGGGTTAAAATCAAGGTGTTGGCAGAGCTATGTTCCTTTGGGAGACTTTGAGGGAAAATCTGCCCTTTCTAGCTTTTACCATCCACCTCCATCCCTTCTGTGGCCCCTTCCTCCATCTTCAAAGGGTATTACTCCAATCTCTGCTTCTACACGACTCCTTTCTCGGCTCCAGGCACCCATATCTCCATCTTATAAGGACCCTTATAACTAAATTGGGCCCACCTGATTACCTGGGACAATCTCCCCATCTCAAACTTACTAACATGTCACATGTGCAAAAGCCCTTCCAGGGAAAAGGACACCTTTGGGGGACCATCGTTCTGTCTACCATAGGGCCAAATGAACAGTCAGTGTTGATGAGCAGAATGAATGAACACAGGGAGCAAGAGGACAGGTTCTCAGTCTCCCTCCCATGCAAAATCACAGTGACCTCCATGCAAAATCACAGTGACCTCCCTCGGTTATTTGCCTGTGGCCTCCTCTTGACCTTGAACAGAAATCTGGGCTCCCGTCTTTAAGGTTTTGTAATAGACTGCTTCCCCCTAGATGTAATAAATTTAAATATCCTAAAGTGTTCTTACATAGTTAAAATCGTTTAACAATGAAATGAGATTTAAAAAAAAAAAATCAGCATTTATATTCTGTACTCCCAATGCATAAACTTTTGGTTTCCACGTTCAGTTAAGAAATTCAGGCGGCCTGGAGCCGCTGGTGGAGCTCCTGCGCTCTAAGAATGCAGAAGTGAGAAGGCACGCCAGCTGGGCGGTGATGGTCTGCGCCAACGATGAGCTGATGGCTGTTGAATTATGCAGGCTTGGGTGAGTGGAGCTGCCTGGAGTCTCCGGCTCAGATGAAGAGCAGAAGATGAAGGAGCGCACTCTTTGGGCCCAAGGAAGGTCAGGCAGAGTCCACACTCCCGCTCGCAGGCTGCCAAGCCCTCGGGACCTGTGACTGGCTCAGCGGACCTTCCCTAGGAAGGGATGGCCTGGTGGGGCGGGGGAGGGGGGGTCCCCTCCCATTCCCCCCACCTGGAGATCTCCCCAGCACCCTTACAAAACCATCTTTACCATCTCCCTGTCCACCTTTTCACCCTGATCAATGCCTCTCTTTCCCTCCCCTCTGCTATTGCTAAACAGCAACTCTGTCTCTCCACTTTTGAAGCGAAAATAAAATGGGTGAGCCATGACTGCATCTACTTTTTATCCCGCCTTCACCCAAACCTCTCCATCAGAATTAGGCATTTAATCCACCCCACCAAAGCAGGTCCTCCAGCTGCAGCAGATGAGCGAATTGCCTTAGCGTACTGGCAAATAGGGTTTCAAGGGTCCACTGATGGGCTCATCCTATTTCTAACCATCTCTGTGTTTGTGCATATTGCCTGGTTAGCTGAAAAAGTTGGAGCCCAATACTAATTTTGCTTTAAATGAAGAACTTCCCCCCCCATCAAAGTGTCCTTTTCAGCTGTTTGAATATGAGTCACTACATGGCATATATATTCTCAAAAAGGACTGATTCATCTTCACAATTCTGTCAGTATTACTTTATCTGAAAGGGTGAGATGTCTTTAACCTTTCCATCTCAATTCTTCATTCAGGGTCTTGGCTGGGTATATAAATGAGAACTTAATATTGGATTGCTTGTTTAAAGCAAATAATGCTTTTTTTCTCTTATTGACAGGGCTTTAGATATCCTTGAAGAAGTTAATCTATCAGTAAGTCGAAAAAATAAATTCAGTGAGGCAGCTTATAACAAATTGCTCAACAACTACCTGTCTCTGAAATATAGCCTGACTGGCTATTTGTCATCAAGTAACATAATTAGTGACGGATTCTATGATTACGGTCAGGTAAGTGACAGAATTAATTTGTATTTTAGTATGTACGATCATTTCTTCTTTAGTCACAGTGCCATTACATTGCAATTTTTTAACCACCTCACAGAATGTATATTTTTATAGGCAGAAACTTGGGAATCAGAGCTTTATTCTTAACTTTGGCTGTAAGATCTTGCATTTGTGTACAGTTTTAACTAGAATCTGATTACTTATAGTAGAATCAGCTTGCTGAGGCTACTCTCAAGTTTCAGGGAAGATCGAAAAGAAGGAGCATTTTCTGTTCTATTAATTCCAGGGTTCAGCCTTAGTGATAAGAAGTATGAGTGTTTCATTTTATTATAATCTAAATGAAATGAGCCAAATTGTAATACCAAATTTTAAAATGTAATATAGAAGAACGTCATTTAAGCTGCATTTTTGACTCGGATTTTAAAAGCAATACACAGTGGAATTCAGGGTTAATGTCAAGAGAAATGGGAAGCTAAAAATTAGAATCTTAAGGACATTTTGGCACTGCTGCTTAAGCCAGCATTTTCCTTCCTTTCTTCTGGAAACCAGGAGCAATAAGGAGAACAGGAAAACAATTTTTAAATCTACAAATGCCACTTTAGGCAAATCTAGGAAACAGATATGATCCACAGACTTCATTAAAAAAATGTAGGAGTTACTGAAAATCCCTGCGATCAGGCAGAAGGGGTGCAGGAAGAGGAATGAAAAGGGGGGTAAAAATAAGCCCAGAGTGGGACAAGCAGCTAGTGGTGCAGGTCTCAGAAAGTGCGATCCCTGCCTCATGTGAAGGGAGAGCTCAGAAGTGCAAAAGCCAAATGCTCTGTTTGCCGGGCAGGTGCAGGACCCGAGGCCCTGGGATGGGCAAGGCTAGGAGCAAAAGCCAGTTTGGACCAGTTTGATTCAAAAAAGCAGAGGAGATAGGGCCATGAAAGAATCACAGAGCTGAACCGTATTTGCAGGAAACACTCTATCATGGTAATTGAATCAGAGACATTTTTTAATTTTTTAATTTTTTTAAAGTAATCTCTACCACATGGGGCTCGAACTCACCACTCCGAGATCAAGAGTCACATGCTCTACCGGCGGAGCCAGTGAGGCTCCCCTAGAGACTTTTTTTTTTTTTTTTTAAGATTTTTTAAATTTATTTGTCAGAGAGAGAGAGAGCACAAGCAGGGGGAGCGGCAGGGAGAGGGAGAAGCAGGCTCCCCGCCGAGCAAGGAGCCCGATGTGGGACTCGATCCCAGGTCCCTGGGATCATGACCTGAGCCAAAAGGCAGACGCTTAACTGACTGAGCCACCCAAGCGTCCCGAGACATTTTGAATAATGAAAAATGACTAGCCTAAAACTTGACTCCTGCTCTTCCTTCTGCTCTCCCCGGCTGCCGCCGCCATCATACCTATCATAAGACATACACACACACACACACACACACACCACTGAGAAATCACTGCTCCAAGAAAGCCCGTCTCATTCAGTGAATTCAGAGAATTCTCTGATTCCTTCATTCAGTAAATATTAAGTTTCTAATAGTGTAGGTTTGAAGACATCAGTAAATAAAAGACCTAGATCTCTACTTTCACCACCCCAGTGAGAAGAAATAGACAATAAACAGTAAACATGACAAATAGATAAATAATTTATATCACATGATCAAAATGATCAGAGCTTTGGGGGGAAAAGTAGAGCAGAGGCAGGATAAGGGGGTTCTATAGTGCTGCGTGGGTACTGGGGTTGATGTTCATCGTGATTTTAGAAATTGTGGTCAGGGAGGTGAGCCAAAGCTAGAAGGTTGGGGGACTTAGGCATGGGGATGGCTGGGGGAAGAGCTTTCCAGGCAGAGGAATATGCATGCCTGGCATATTTAAAAAACAGCAAGGTCAGTGTAGCCGTAGCTGAGTGAACCAAGGGGCAGACCAGTAAGGACTAAATCAGAGAGGTAGAGCCCAGATCATGTAAGTCTTGTAGACCATCGGAAGGATTTGGGCCTTTATTCTGAATGAAGTAGGAAAACTTGGCAGAGTTGTGGGCAGAAAAATAACATGATCTGTCTGATTTTTAAAGGATCCTGGAAAGTATCTTGGACGAGAGAGGGATCTAACTGTAATACGACTGGGAAAAGACCCCAGAAGGTGGTGTGGTCTAACCCCCCTCAGCAGGCTAGTAAAATTGCTAATATAAGATCTGGACTAACCTATTTTTACATATCCTCACAACATTTTTAGTCATCTGTTGAGTAATCAGTTACTCTCACAGACAACAAATTCTCCCTTATATATACATTGCATACATTGCAAACTCCCTTATGTTTACATTGCAAACTCAACTACTTTTGGGGGCCAAACTGATAATTATGGTGTGAAACAGCTGAGAGTATAAAGCAATACAGATTGTGGGGAACTGGAGGCAAGATGCCCACAAGTTCAAGTTCCTCTTTCTAACTGTGCATATGTGTATGCGAAATTACATTACTTCAAACAGCTGAGAACATCAGTATTCATTTAAAACAATATAATCCTCAGGCGCCTGGGTGGCTCAGTTGGTTAAGCAACTGCCTTCGGCTCAGGTCATGATCCTGGAGTTCCGGGATCGAGTCCCGCATCGGGCTCCCTGCTCTGCAGGGAGTCTGCTTCTCCCTCTGACCCTCCCCCCTCTCATGTGCTCTCTCTCTCATTCTCTCTGTCTCAAATAAATAAAATCTTTAAAAATAAATGAATAAATAAATAAAACAATATAATCCATGCGGATATTACTTTTTCTTTCTTAAATTATCTGTAGATAAATCCCGGCACCAAACTTTTGCCTTTGAAGGATCTCTGCTTACAAGAACCAAGTGATCTACGTGCTGTACTCTTAGTTAACAGTAAATTTGACGTGTGAGTCTCTTGGGGGAGGAGGGATGCAGGGAAGCACATAATGCTTTTTGTCTGTACATCATCACATGAATATATAAGATTCCCAGGATGGTATCTTTTTGCCCCCTGTATTTGGCATCACACTGAAAACGAACACCAGTCCATAAACTCATAGCCTGACATAGTAAAGGCCATGAAATCACCAGCAACATGGTTTTTCCTTTGATTCCCTTTTACCACTCAATTCCAGATGTATTTCTGTAGTCAATGCTGGTAACATGAAGTAATTGAAGGAAGTGTAAGCAGATAGGAGCAAACCAAAACGAATTATGTTTACAGGACTCTAACTGCTGCCCAGAGGTTTTTTTTTTTTTAACTATAAAATAAGAAGTAAATAGTACAGCTAAAAATTAAAGCTTCAAATGGTCATGCATACCTATATATCTGTCATAATTTATTTTATGTGATGTATTTTATAAAAATATTTCCAGTCCCAGTTCATGAACAATATTCTTTTTGTCTTACCTTCACCTCTCCTTTATGTTTTCATTCTATCACTGTTAAAAGTCATCTCCCATTATGATTTTCTGAAAAAGAAATCTGTTTTGTAGGACAAATCCAATATTGACAAATAAAGTATTTTAACTTGTATATAATTCAAATATGTAAAATTTTAGTTCTCCACCTCCATGTATGGAAGATAAGTCATCAGATATTGGTTATGGACGGAGTATTTCTTCCTCATCTTCTTTAAGAAGAGCAAGCAAAGAAAAGACGAAGTAAGAAAATGGTATTTTGTCTGTACTCAAATAATTCTCCCCTCAACCTGGGAGTAAGAACAAATTTAGGTTTTAGATTGGGGCAACTTAATTCTTTTCATTCTTCTAGTACTATAATTTCATAATTGCCTTTTTAAATTGCTGTGGAAAAGATCTCTGGGAAAAGTAGGCTTTCTGTGCTATTTGCTGTGAACCTCCAGTGAGCCCTCGAGCACAGGACTTAGGAGCTGTGAGCCGGCTTTGTTCGATTTTCTGTAGATGGAGTCATGCCTGGTGCCCGGCTTCACATCGGGGAAGGGAGCCCAGGCATGTCATGGCAAAGAAACATGCCTTCTAAATGACGAAATGCCTTGCAAATGTAATATTTTATTATTTCTCATATGATTGAAATCGATGATGAATTTTTCCTTGTCCTAAGAACAAATATTTTTCATTTTAGTACTGGATTTGGATCTCCCACAGAAGACAAATCAGAACCTACTTCTGGACGAAATACTGCTCTTAGCAAAAGCACCACTAAGGAGAAAAGATCAAGGTAGGAAATGTAGGACTGTCTTCTTTTCCTAAGGATAGTCAAGTGAGGTTCTGATTCCGCACCAAAGTTGGTGAACTGAAGGGGTGGCCTTTAAAATAGGAAGCTTTTCTTACCGAATCAGGATGTTGGGTAGGAGGGGAGACTCATGAAATGTAATTAACAAGTCACTTCATTTTTGCCTCTTGCAATCTCTTGAAAACTTAACCAGAGTGAATTGCTTCTCCTGCCTCTGGGTGAGAACTCAGGTCACTTTGATCAACTATACAGTCCTACAGACACTTGAATTCGAAAACAGCAACAGTAGTCTCTAGCCAGTCATTTAAAAGTCCAACCCTGTGTCATGATCAAGGTAGAATGACCCCCTGCCTTCCTCCGGCGGCTGCCCTTGCGGATGGTGAGCCCCACACGCAGGAGGGCGGTCCTGTCCATGTCCGCCTTGTGCTTCTACCCCGCCTCCCCCCACCCTGCTCGCCCAGAGAAACCTCTGACCCCTCAGGAGGCAGCGAGAGGAGGAAAGGGAAATAGGACCCAGCTCTTACTTGATGGAACAATTAGAATGTGGTTTCATGCGTTTTAGGCCTGGCATGTTTTAAACATGCTTTCCGTATGTTTACGTATTTTTAAACCCATTATTTCTCTAATGAGCACTTTCGTGGATTCCTCAAAAACCCACTTGGACCTCTTGCCACACTCCGTGACCCTTTAATTATTGTTGACTTAAGCCCTTCCGAACCACTGTGGTATCGGAGGCTGTTTGGCAGGCATTTCGAGCATCCGCTCTCTAAACTGAGACCGCCCCTTACGGCCTCCCGAGGTCTGCGCGGTGGTTTGCTCTCCTCAGACCTCAGAGTGGCTGTTTCCCTATTTCTGACTTCCTTCTCTGTTGTAAGTCTCCTTTGCTCGCTCTTCTCATCGCAGCTTCTTAACTGCTCCTATTGTTCCAGGAATGATATTTTTTGCCCTTCCCTCCCCTCCCTTCCCTGTCACCCGTCTCGTCCCCACCCCACCCCTCCCTCCCCCACCTTTCCCCTCCCCTCCCCTCCCTATCCTGCGCCCCACCCCGCACCTTCTCTTCCTGTCTTTCCTTTCCTCCTTTGGCTTCTCTGTGCTTCACCTCTACGGCATGGAGAGCTCCTTGAAGACAAGAACATGTTCTGATTTGAGGAATTTCTCTTCCCATCCCTAGTGTTTAGCCCAGGGCTTGGTGGGCATACAGAGGCATTCATGTGTATTCAAGAGAATAGAAATCTGAAGGGTTGCAGGAAAAGGTTATTTTTGACAAGGTCCACCCTTATAAACTGTGTGTCTGAGCAAGTTGGTTTTCTTCTCTTTGCCTGAGTCCCCTCCTCAGTAAAATGAACAGAACATAGGGTATGGTGAGGAGTAAAGAAATTAGCACGTAGAAAGTGCATAGAGCAGTGCCTGGCACAAAGTGGACAAATGTTAGTGCTGTTGTACGAAATGGTTGCAAGGAGCCCAAATCCACTCAACCCTTGCAGGGATATAGAGGAGTCTCCAGAGTCCAATGCGGGAAATGCAGCCACCCCCTAAAGGACAGGAGCTCGGATGAAGTCAGTAACTATGGGGTCTCTGTCTCTCTCCCTCTCTTTTTCTCTCTCCACTGCGGGTATCTTATTTACAGATGCTTTGTTATCCTCCTTGACTTTCTTTTGATTACCGCCTCACCCATAACTGTGGCTTATATGTGACTTTGGTTTGCCTGGGGACAAATCTGGCTCCAATTCCAAGCAAACTTTCAGTTCTAAAGCATATTTGTGCATATTCAAGTGCATATTGGTCAAAGAGGCCATCGTACCGTCATAGGCCAAAGTATTGGCTGGCTTTGAAGCAGGTGTCTCCCTTTGGTCTAGCCAGCCATGGCCCTGGGGAAGAATCAACTTTCTGCCCCCTTGATAAGAGGAGGGTAGGCCACTTGTCTGATGGGTGACCATTACACACATATTGTACTTACCATCATCAGTCAAAGCGTATTTTTCCCTCTGGTACCTCTGATACCACATCAGCTTTAATCTTTGGTGATTCTGCTATTCTTGGCAGAATATCATCTATTTTTCTTACAACTTAGTCTGTTTCTTAATCCTAAATCTTTTGGGGGAGAATGGGCAGTCCTACTGGGTTGAAAGTTATTTTGTGTACTTGTAAATATCAAAATGCTGATCTTCAGGGAGGCAGAAAAAGAGAGAAAGGGGGAAACAAATCATGAGAGACAAGATCTTAACTATAGAGAACAAACTGAGGGTTGATGGAGGGAGGAGGGGGGTGGGGGATGGGCTAGATGGGGGATGGGGTTGAAGGAGGGCACTTGTTATGACAAACACCGGGTGTTACAGGTAAATGTTCAGAGCACTGAACTCTACTCCTGAAACCAATATTGAACTGTATGTCAACTAACTAGAATTTAAATAAATTTTTAAAAGTGCTGATCTTCAGATAGCCATGGGTTTTTAATTACAATATTTGATAGTTTGATTTTTCTGTACTACTTGGAAGCACTCACATCTTTATCTCATTTGATCCATACCTTCTTCTTCTATAGATAAGTCTCCTCTTTTTTGGCCCTTTTTGCTATATCCTCATCTACCCATCACAACTACCTTACATGTTGACATGCTCCAGGATTCTTCATTTACTCCCTTTCTCGCTCTCCATGGTTTTAGCTACTGCTGACAGTTACATACACCTCTCCGGAGTCCAATCTGCTCTCTCCTGCTACCCTGTAAACAATGTGTTCCAAATGAAACTCATTGTTCCCCCAACTCCCAAACTTCCTCCTCTCTTCCCTAAGTTGATGAATGTTACCCTCTTCCCATGCAAGTGCTCAAGCCTAGGAATCGTCTTAAAGTCCTTCTTCTTTCCTCCCTACACTGAATGAGTCTCAGTCCCGTGCACTAGATGTCTTCAATGTCTCTTAAGTCATGGTTTCCCTCCATTTTCAGCTTTACCTCCCCAGTTCAGGCCTTTGTATTATATCTCAAGACACTGACCTCATTATTGTAAGATTCTTCTCCCTTTTGTATAGCCCTCCACAAACCCATCCTCCATGCTACCCCCCCCCGAGTTACCTTCCCAAAATGAAAGGCTGATGATATTACTCTGCCTAAAGCAATGATTCCCTGTCTTCCTCCAGATGAAGTCCAAACAGCAACCATGGCATCCTCTGTAAGAGTCTTACAAGTCTTGTATGCATAGCAAATTCCTACTCTTCTTCATTCTCTTTATACATTTTGTTTTTGTGAGGCATTCCCTGGTCACCCCAGGTTAGGTATTCTCTTTTTGTTCACTCCTTCATGAATTCAAATAATCTTATATATAACCTGAACTGCTTGGTGTTGATCTATTTGTCTTTCTTACTAAGCAACGGATTACTTGAGACCTGGGACCAGGCCTTTTTCATTTTTATAGTCATAGAGCCTAGAATAATATCATGAAACCAGAGACAGTAAAGAAACATTTATCGTTTAAGTATTCACAAATTATTTAAAATGCTGAATGCTTGTTGTTGAAAGGAATAGAGGTTTGACTCCCTCCCAATATGCCCCAGGAGAATAAGTAAACAAATGAAGATAATTATTTCTTCTCATACCATGTCCATTCTCCTCCTTGTCCCTGCATCTTCTCCCCCACTTGAAGATAAACCCTGATGTACTCCCAACATTCAAACAGATTGTTAGCATGATGAAGAACACACATTTTGCATCCAGACAAAACCAGTACTTGGTTTTCTTATCTCTAAAATGGAAATGAGTCCTGCCTCACAGAGGTGCTGTGAGAGTAAGTGAAACAATGTTTGCCCAGTGCCTAAACCATTGCCTTGCATACTTAAGTGATCAGTGTATGTCCAGTCCTTTTCCCCTCCTCAGTCCTGGGTCCACTGGGGGGATAGATTGGTCATAATCTTGTTGTCCTGTTGTCTGTTTTTTGATAAACCCTTCTTGTCTTGTGACTATTAGTCCTTTGGATCCCTGGAGATAGAGTAAAACATTTTAACTCTATTCATCTGAGAATGTCACAGAGAATGTTTAATGTTAACAAAAAGTTACTGAAAGATACTGACAAAGAATGATGAGCCATCTTGGACCACAAAGTGGCTAAATTCTTGAAGAGGAGAGAAAGGATGGGAAACAAGCAAATCAATTATGCATGTGGGGTGGCCTAATATGGACAAGAATGATTTTTCTTTCTCCTCATGAATATTGTCACCATATGCTACATGAATTAAAATCCTAAAGCAACAGGCTCTCACTGGGTGACCAGTAATCAGATTATTTTTGTGTGTGAAGGTTTCAGTTGTGCTCTCCTTTGTGGGAAAACACACTCATGGGAGAGGTGATTAGTTTCCTTTCTATCCAGCCACTATCTTGATACTTTCCTAGGCTTCACTGAAGCCAACAAATCTAATATGCCCTCTAAAGCTTTTCTTTATAAAGACCATTTCCCTTACGATAACCATTTACTGTACCTATTTGTAAATGTATTGTAAGTTCTGTGTGTACTGTATTTTTGTATTCAGACCAATTTTCATAAATATTTAAGTTGACTGCACATGAGTTTATTATACACACTTAAAAGTTTATGGGGCGCCTGGGTGGCTCAGTCGGTTGAGCGACTGCCTTCGGCTCAGGTCATGATCCTGGAGTTCCGGGATCGAGTCCCGCATCGGGCTCCCTGCTCGGCAGGGAGTCTGCTTCTCCCTCTGACCCTCCTCCCTCTCATGCTCTCTGTCTCAAATAAATAAATAAAATCTTTAAAAAAAAAAAAAAGTTTATTGCTTTCCTGTCTCCATTTTGTTTCCTTCCAGTCTGTTCGTCTCTGGAGTCTTTTAGAAATTTACAACATGTACCTAAACATTTCTGCTGTTCAGTCTTAATCTTCATCATAATGACTTCCTAAAACATTTTTATTTTTAAAATAATTTCCCTCAAGCTCTTCTTTTTAACCTTAGCTTAGCCATTTTTTCCCTTCCCCCCAAATCTTTACTG